TGAAAAGAAACAATAGAACTTTGCCTGCAGCTCAAGGACCTGTCTGAAGTACCTCACCTCCAAAGTTATCATTAGATGAGATTTGAACACCAACATCATCTGATACCCAAGAAGCACTCACAGATCTAGTAGAGTGCTCCTTGACAGAAAGATGGAACCTTATCCCTAAGGTCAAATGCCTGAACAGTAATGTTTGATCCAAGATGAAATGTTGAAGTGATACGTTGGTTCCCCCTTACAGGTAGAAAAAATGGTACATGCATGAATCTATAACCAGCCTTGATAGCAGGGCGCACATTGGGAAGGCTTACAACAATACAAAAACACAAAAATTCCCCAGCCTCAGCCTGCCAGCCAGCCTGCAACCAAACAAGTAGCCCTGTCAACAGTGTGCGTTAAAATCAGAGGTTTTAGTTGCACAAACTTTTGGCCAAAAATATGTAGAAGCCACACTGCCGCGCCAAGGCACCTCTGCAAAGTGTGGTCCAAAGTTTGTGCAACTTTTGGCCAAAAATATGTAGAAGCCACACTGCCGCGCACCTGCACCTTATTAGGAGGAGTTGGCTACCTCCAGGTACACCTGCATGTAATTTATCAACTTCATTAATATGCTCACACTTGGAGACTCGGATACAGAGTTAGGACCACACTTTGCAGAGGTGCCTTGGTGCGGCAGTGTGGCTTCTACATATTTTTGGCCAAAAGTTTGTGCAACTAAAACCTCTGATTTTAACGCACACTGTTGACAGGGCTACTTGTTTGGTTGCAGGCTGGCTGGCAGGCTGAGGATGGGGAATTTTTGTGTTTTTGTATTGTTGTAAGCCTTCCCAATGTGCGCCCTGCTATCAAGGCTGGTTATAGATTCATGCATGTACCATTTTTTCTAGTTTGACTATTTTTGGTTTGGGGGACGCACTGGAGTTCCAGCGTGCATTTTTGGTTGCTGGGCCTCCAGTGCATCCCTGCACCTTATTAGGAGGAGTTGGCTACCTCCAGGTACACCTGCATGTAATTTATCAACTTCATTAATATGCTCACACTTGGAGACTCGGATACATAGAGTTAGGACCACACTTTGCAGAGGTGCCTTGGCGCGGCAGTGTGGCTTCTACATATTTTTGGCCAAAAGTTTGTGCAACTAAAACCTCTGATTTTAACGCACACTGTTGACAGGGCTACTTGTTTGGTTGCAGGCTGGCTGGCAGGCTGAGGCTGGGGAATTTTTGTGTTTTTGTATCCCCTTTACAGGTACCTTTAGGAATTACAGAAAGAGAGTCAGCCCTTCTAATGTAAGCAGTGGCTGAGAGGTAGACCTGTACACACCAACTATGTCCAAGCAGAAGTGAAGGAAAATTTCCATCTGGTGTACTGGAGCTGGACATACACACGGAAGAACAATGACCTGGTTGAGGTGAAAGGCTAAATACACTTTAGGAAGGAAGGAGGCTCTAGGCCTCAGCACCACATTTTCCTTGTGTAAGATCATAAAAGGTTCTTTTCGGGACAAGGCTGCCAGCTGAGACATATGCCTCACAAAGGGGATAGCAATGAGGAAACTTGTGAGTACAAGTGGAAAGAGAAATATCCCTGATAGGTTCAAAAGACATATTTAAAGTGCCAGCAGAACCGGATTTAGTCATAGGTGGTTAAACAGGTGGGGCCACATGAGGGACACCCTGTACAAAAATCATAACTAATGAATGGAGGTTAGCAGTTTTTGGAATAAGATTGAAATGGCCAAAATTTGTTCCTTGATAGCAATCTAGGTCAAATGTTTATCCAGACCTGATTGCAGAAAGGTTAGGATTCTTCGCATTGAGTATTTCCTTGCACCAGGCAAAGTAAGCCTTCCATGTATGATGGTAAACCTTATGAGAGATAGATTTCCTGGCTTAACAAGACATGGTTTTCAACAGCCATGCTGCTAAACCCAGTGACCGTAAAGCTGGATGGTAAATTCCTTGACATAGAAGACACTGTCAATCTGGAAGTGCCCATGGGGTGCCTGCCAGAAGTTTGATGAGGTTGAAGTACCAGATCTGCCTGGGACAGTTCACAGTTATAAGAATGCTCCCCCATCTTAAACCTGTGTAGTAGTCAAAGAAGGGGTTACAGGAGCATCCACTTGGCTTCCACCAGAGGATCGCTGCATTTGGAGCCAAACGTGTCCTGTCTGTTGTTGAACCTGGGGGCTAGGAAGTACACATTCGGCATCTCCCACCTGTAACACAGGCCCTGAAACACTTCCAGGTGTAAGGACCATTCACCAAGTCCAGACCCTATCAGCTGAGGTTGCCTGCCAAATGTCCATGTCTGAAACAGCCAAAAAGGCTGCAATAGGGAGATCTGCCCAGGGTGGAATTCTTGCCTGGCTGGAATCCTGCCATGGCAATATTTCTGGTTCCTCCCTGGTTGTTTATAAATGCCACTGCTGTGGTATTGTCTGAAACCTCTTTGGAACTGCTGTGGTATTGTCTGACTGGATCCTGATTGGATGACCCTCCAGTCGGGGTGTGCAACCAAATTGCTCGGTGCTCCAGATGGCGGGCATCTGTTAGGATTTTCCAAGACAGTGGGAGAAAGGTTTTCCCAACTCCAGAGCTTGATTCCTGAGCCACCAGTCCAGGGATTATCTAGTCTTTGGTGACCCTATGAAGTGGGATTGCTGTCCTCATGCTTGGGATCTAACATGTTGTACTGCCTAACAGGAACAACTTGATATGGAACATTGGGTATCTGGAGTACTCACAACCAGCTGCTAAAGGCAAGAGAAGGTGACTGCGTGTCTCTTGCAAACAGGAGCAATAATGGGAAGAAGCAACCTCATGCTGACAAGGCATGAACAAAGTGTGGAGTGTGAGCAAGCAACACTGGCTAGTAGCGCATCACTTAATTCCTTTGTTTTAACTTTTTCCGAAGGTAACTAACAGAACAGAGGAGTAATAGTGATGTTCAACATTATTAATAATGTAGTAGTTCCCAATGCTCAAACCACATGGTATTCTCTTTAAAGAGCCTTCAGAGGCTTGGTCATAGCAGAGGCTCTGGACCTGGAAAGTGGTCTGCAACTAAGACAGTACATGAATGTCTGGGAAGCGCCACAGACAGAACCAATGCCTGATGGTCACATACCAGGCAGGCTTGGAAGTCTTTGGTCCAACGAGATCCAGGTACAGCCTCCAAAGCATTGCCAAGAAAACATTGATCCAGAGAGAGCCCAGCTCAACAGCATGTAGAAAAGGTCTCGACTGAACAAAAAAAATCTTAAGAAAAAAAATTAAATGGCTATTAAAAAGGGTAAGCTTTTCTCTATGAAAATTAGCATGCTAGGAGCGGGAGAGGTTATACCTGGCTGGCCAATGTCTTTTTTGTTAGCCAGTGTCCAAATACTCCTGCAGGCAGCAGCGTAACCCAGTCATCCCAGAATAACTGAATCATGTGTCCCTAAAAGAACAAAAATAAATAAATATTGGGGATATTTCCCTTCAGTTCAAGGCCTGGAGACACAAGTGGAAATGATTTTCACCCCTTTAACAGTGATGCTCAGTGGACAGTCCCACCTTGTTAAAAAAAACCCTATTCAATGTTAATTGTAAATGTTCAGTTGATATTGTTTTTTTTTTTTTAGAGAAGGCTCACTTTTATATTGTTGGATAGTGAAAAAAGAAGGGCCCTTTTACAAAGGTGGCCGGTGAAATAAAAAAAAGGCCCTTTATATCCTGGTGTGCAGTGTAGAAGTATCTCTTAATATAAGTGGCCACTGGAAGAAAAAGTGCTCCTTTAGGTTGGTGGTCACTGGAAGAAAAATGCTCCTTTACATTGTTATCCACTAGGAGACAAAATGCCTCCCACATTCAGTGGAGAAGCAATTCCCACTTACATTGGTTGTTAGTGGTAGAAAAGACCTTCTATTGGTAATCACTAGAAGGAGAAGTGCCTCCTTCAAATGGTCACTGGGAACAGAATACCCCCCTTGCATTGATGGTCAGTGGAATGAGGTGGCCCATTACATTGGTGGTCACTGGTATGAGAAATGCTCCCTGGCATTGCTAGTCACTGGGAGAAGGAATGCCCTCTTACACTGGTGATGAGTGTACAGGAAATTACCCTTTACAATGGGTTGTGGCTGGATAAAAAAATTGTCCTTTACATTGGTGGTCAGTGTAGAAGAGATTATTCCTTACATTAGTGGTTGGTAAATACAAAATGCCCCTTAGACTGGTGCTTTGTTGGAGCAAAATGCCCCTTTCATTGTTGGTCAGTGCGAGAAATCCCCCCTTCCAATGGGGGTCACTTTGAGAAGATGTGCTTTTTTATATTGGTAGTCACTGGAAGAAGCAATATACCTTTACATTGGTTGTAATTCAAGAAGAAATGCACCTTCACGTTGGTAGTCACTTGATAAAAACATGCCTCCTTACGTTGTTACTCAGTGGAGAAGAAGTGCCCCCCCCCTACATTGGAGGTCAGTGGTTGGCAAAAGGAAGATTATTAGGGTTAGTAGTGACTTACCTGTGGTCAAACAAAAAAGAGGATATGCTTACACCACCACTGGCTCTGCAACGAACTGAAACTATGCAGACACTGGAAAGCGGGAGAACAATCTGCCCAGAAAATAAGCCTGGAGTCTAGACACTGTCCACCATTCTTTATTTCTTACTGGGCAGGTAAGGAGAAAAGAGCTGTGCACAACTCGGTTGCACGTGATAGATGTCAGACAGACAACAAAAACAAATACTTCTCTGTTGTATATTTTATCTTCATAAAGTTAAATAGGTTATAAACATATACGTTACAGTGTTTTAGTTTCTGTACTCTTGTATTGTCTGAAAAGAACATAGCATAAAAGTTACTTCCCCTTCTAGGAAAACGTCAAATCTATGTCACAAACCACTTTTAGTCATATGTTTATGTGTGATACAGCCAGGTAATACTAAGAACAATTTTCCAAAATAACTTTTGGATAAAAAAAATATCTTTCATTTAGACAAATCCCAATTTTAGAAGAATTTTAGACGAGTTTGACCATCGCACCTTCCAGGAACTCTCTCGCATATAAGCTTTCTCCTTTTTTGTTGCGGTGGCTGAGAAAATGGTATTCCTATTTTTAGGAAAAAAGAAAAAGGTGAAAGTACTTGTTCACTGTGGATATGGCCCTCATTCATTTCTTGATGTTGCTGTGGCATAAATGTAATAAATCAATATGTGGTACTGAATATTAACTGGTCAAATAAATATTTAATAAATGTGCAGATTTGTGTGATAATACAAAGCTCTTTAGAAGATCCCATCACAACATGTATGTAAAGTGGGCGCAGAAACTTCCGTTCTTTTATACATGAGCCCCTAAGGGGTCTTTTTTATATATCATTTGCTGTCTCATTTGCACTGCAAATCTCTGTGAACATTCATTCTGTGCGCATATAAGCAAAAATGAACATTCTTAGTATATTTTCTTTTCAGGTCAAATGTAACATTCAGAAAATACCACATGATGGAGCTAAGGAGCATATGAAATATGTATTTATAAATAGACCACTAAGTATTTTTAAATGCCTAAAGAGAAAATTCACACATATCAAGGGACCAAAATACTGCATGCAATTGGTTGTATTACAGCTTCTAAATTACCTCACTATGGGGACTACCAAAGCTTTAAAACTATATCTACATTCCACTAGATAGCAAATTATGAAAATATATGAAATTCATCACGGTATGTAAAAAAAAAAAAGAAAAAAATATCACCCATAAAACATATAAACATTTCCCAGGGGTAATGTGAACTTAAAATCTATCTCTGAGGGAAAAAATACCCTTGCAGTATGGGGTAACTGCTGGTTTATGTCTATGCCTGCACCCACAGGTGACTCCATTCTCAATAAGGGCTTTGAAATTACTTTTTTCATTTTTATAACTCTGTATTTCAGCTTGTTCTCATGAACATATTTATTGTCTCCAATAATATTATATATTTTTCACTTTCATAATAAAAATACTAATAAAGCTTACAAATCAAGTAAGCAATATGGCTCACGTTTTGATTGTTGCATGTAATTATTTTGAAATGTCAACTAGGGGCATGAGATGAATCATTGGCTACACAGTAAAAGCAAAGATATAACAGATAGAAGGTGGTCATTTCACATCCCCCCCCCTTCCCCCAAGAACCATCAAGAACCCTCCCCCCTGGCCCCGTCCTTGCTTCTGTGAGATCTTCGCTGTGTGGCCTCTGCTGGATGCATCTGTAAGTGAATAGACTGTCCGCTGCTAGGACACAAAAGAGATGGCCTCTCCACAGTATTGACTGATAAAGAAGGATCTTTCAGAACACTTTGCTGCAGTGGCTGTGAGGCTCCATGCTGGCAGCACACTGAGCACAGTAAACATCTGGAAGGAGCTTGGACAGGTCCCCCATTCTCCTAGTTTAGATGTCAAAACTACTGCATGAAGCAAACAAAACATCAGAACTATTATTCCGCAGTGCAGAGGCGTAACTAGTGACCTCAGTGCCCCGATGCAAGAATCCATGAAGGTCCCCCCCCCTTTCACGTCCCCAGCTTTCCACTCCCGGACCCCATGTCACCTTTAGTTCCAGCTCCCTGTCTCCCCCTTCGTGTCCACAGCAGCTCTCTATTCGGCACTGGGCAGCAGTTCCGTGTGATGAGGGATCAGGGACAACACCGATCCCACTTATTGGCTGCTGCGCTGGCTGGATCATACTTCACGCTGCGCCCGGAACAAGGTGAGGGGAGCAGCGTGAAGCATCTAGGGCCCAGGACAGGGGGAAGAGGTCTCGGGACTGACGTTAGCGGTTACCGGGATAATTAATATCCTGGTAATCAGCGGTTACCAGGGGCCCTTTCCTCCTGTCCTGGGCCCCCCTCCAAGTGGCGGAACTCCAGGGCCCGGTCGCCGCAGCGACCTCTGCAACCTGGTAGTTCCGCCACTGCCGCAGTGCATTTTGCACATTTTTACATGATACTTTTCAGGTACGGATGTGCAAAAACAATACAGGGTGCTAAAAGATGAGCAATAGCATAACCATTATTGTAAATTAGTTTTTTTATAAAGCACTGTACCTGCCATTGTTGTTTCTTGTGTTAAAACATTGCTTATTGTAAATCTTCTCTTTCCATCAATTGCCATCTGAGAAAACTGTAGATCATCTAGGTATTCTTCACTGGGGACTGAGAGAGCATGACTAGGAATGTTCCCTGATCCACAATTTGGAAAGACCAATGTCTTGTCTGCACACAGTTCTTTGCTGACACATATTACATCCTCCTGCTCATTTCTGGCAAATACTGGGTTTGTGGGATTTTTCTGACTTGATAAATCCCCAAAGAAATCTTCTCTTGTGATTAACAAGCTTGGCTTGCCTGTTTTGCCATAATAGTTATGTTGAAGAAGAATACCATGTTCTTCACCAGAAAGCACATCTGGAGAACTGTCAGGTGGATCTGTAGGCAGATGGGAATGTTGTTCAGAAATATTTCCTGATAGCGCTGTCCTATTTTGGTTTCTTGAAAAGTCCAGAAATGTTGCTTCTGAATAATATTTGCTGCTAAATCTCATTGACTGTTCAGGTGGATTATGACAACTGTGTAGAGTGGAAACATTTGATGATAGCTGTGCTTGTTTTACATATGTGTTGTCCCTGATACCAGTGTTCTGCCAATATTTGTTTGCTTCAAATTGTTTGCTTGAATTAGAAACCATTATTTGAAATGTTTTCAACAATCCATTATTGACAAACTGCGTTTCGTTGTTGACAAATGCATTGCAGTTACATTTATCAACAGCTAAAGAGGAGCTTTGGATATTGTCAGGGCTACAGCAGTGTTCTCTAGCAGCTGGTACTGACATATTAAAAGGTCTTTGGGACGTAGCTGTTGTACTCAGCTTGTGCAAAGCTGTAATATCATTGAAATGCTAAAACGACAAAATTGGAAGAATTAAAGATAAATTTTTATTTTTTATTTTCATCAATTCATGATTCTCCACAATTTAATTCTTGCACCTGTATACCCATTATAGACCAGAGCATTCTTAACATTTCTCCCAAGGGTGTATTGCCTTGACAATCACTTGGTCTTTACTTACTATAACAAAGTTTCACATGTATTGTTTTTTGGTACAAAAAAGGTTTTCTCATGGCAATATTGGTTTATTTTCTATGCAACAGTCAGTGCTACTGCAGGCATGAAGAAAATATTTCATTCTATAATGTTTCCTGTTTATAATCACACTTTGAATACATTTTATTACAAAGCATGGCAAAATAGTTTACAAATGAAGTAAAGCCTTTAAAAAAAAAAAAAATTGCATATTATCTTTAAAGGGTTTCTAAACCCTCCATTTTTTTTGCATATATCTACTGCTAGAAAGCAGTAGATATATGCAAAAAGTATTTTTTTTAAAAACCCCTTTTAAAGCGGTTTAAACTTACCTGTGTCTTCGCGGCATGCTCCCGTCCGAAAATGCAAAAATGCTTGGGCGGCCGCAAAGCATCTTGGGGCGGGCGCATGCTCAGTTCGGATTTTTGGCCGGGAGACGAGAAGAGACACAAGGTAAGTCTATGGACGGCGTGCACACGCATGCAGACACCGTGGGACAGGAAGTGCCAGCAAGGACAGAGGAGTCAGCGCTGGATCGGAGACCCGCAGCAGCGCTGGAGGGACAGCTGAAAAGGACAGGAAAGAAGAGGAAGATCGGATTAAGAGACATCATTTAAGGTAAGTGCTTTAATTAACATTGGGGGGGAGGGGAAAAAGTTTGTGCCTTTAATGTCACTTTAACAATGTCACAAAAAAAAGAAATGAAAGAATAAAAATGAAAAAAAAACTTAAAATATTAAAAAACATGTTTTGCAAAATAAAACATTGCATTACAACACTATACTGAGCATGGTAACGATATTGATATGTGTCCAGCCAACCTGCTGGCAGTTACTACAGCACTCTCTTACCTTAGAAAAGAACACATCTTGCCAGCCCTCTACGGCTGTATAAACATGTGCAGAGGTGACAGTAAATTCTTTCTATGGTAGTCTCTACTCCACAGTATTTTTTTATGCTTTGTGATTCAAACTTCTTCTGAGACTATACTAAAAAATATGCACTTTTTCCTTTTTTTCTTAATACCTTTAAAACTTTTGATGGCATTTCTGGAAAAAGTTTCTTTAGCTGGTCATGGGTTGCTGACAGTAACCATTGTAGTGAAGATCCTCTGCTTAGCATACGCTGAGCCATCATGGGATTAATACTTGGAAATGAAAGTAAAACGTTTTCTTCCTGGAAAAAAAATTATATAATAGGATTTTTGTACTTACTGTAAAATCCTTTTTTTTTAGGCGTACATGGAAGGACATAGCGAAGATCTTTTATCTCTGACCAATAGGTTATAGTGCCACCTTCAGGAGTAGGACCCTAGGCATAAAACTATAGCGGCAGCCCATTATGGTGGCCGAACCCCCATCTGCTACAGGCAGCTCAGTTAGTCACAAGAAGTGCATAGAGAACAACTGGTCACAGGCAACAAGGAGAGGGGGATGTGTCCTTCAATGAGCGCAGAGATTTTCTATTTATTTTCTATTTTCTTTTATGTTCACTGAGTGACCAACAGAGATCTTGATCTAGACCATTGGGATGTCCCAAAGCAGTGTCTAATAAGGGGTGGGAAAGTAAACAATTGTGTGGACAAGTTGTCTTATCTGCATGTCTTATCTGCATATTAAATTGATTTATCCCAAAGTGACAGATAACAAGCATAGATGCTGGAATGCAACTGAGCAATGGAACTGCCCTGAAGGATGCTGCCATCAGGTCCAGGACACTCATGCTATTGGCAGAGTTGGGTGACTCTTGAACCGTAGAGAGCGAACTTTGGGTGCAGAGAGTGTGAAATGTCACATACTGGAGGAAAACTTGGCTTGAGCTGTGTCTAGAACAAGCTCCAGATACCGAAAGCAAAAAGTCGGTTTTAAGCTGAACCTTCTCAACTGTTCCTTTAACAGGAAGTTGTCCAGACACCAAAAATCGATACCCTGGGAAGCAGTCAGGCTATCACAAGAACCAGTATCTTGGTGAGTACAAGCAGTGCAAAAGACAGGGCAGGGCACAGAGGTGCTAGAGGACCGTTGCAAATGAAAACAAGTGTTGCTGCACTGGTAATGGCAACCTGCAGGAATGCATCCCTAATGTTCACAGGGTCCAAAAGAGGCTCCCTAAGTAGCGGAGGCTCAGGTGGGAAAGTATGGCCCAAATTAGGTCATATATGGCCTACATACCCAAGTCTGGGCAGATACTGCATTCTGGTGTAAGAACAGAGACAAGACTGAAGTGAAAGCCCTGAAACAACTCCAGCATAAAAACCTGGACAAAAACTCCTTAGTCAAAAGATTTGCATGAGCAGCTTGGAGAACAGCTAGTCTGTCTTGAGGCAAAGGGGGATTGGAAGAGATGAAGCAGGAAGGGGAAAAGGGCAGAAATTTAGCCTGCAGCACCTTTGAATCACACTCCTCATCCAGGCATCTGACATGCTTCATGACTGCAAAGCTAACAAACATCCCCGCGTCTTGGACATCCCTTTATGTCGAAAAGGACTGTCCACAAACTTGGGGGACCTAGGGGCCCAGGATCACAATGAAGTAGACCTCTGGCTGGGGAAGAATAAGAGTGACAAAGGAATTCCTTCCAGCACAAGGAAGTTAGGAAGAGACGCTGTCCCTTGAAGAGCATGCACAGCAATTGCTTGTACATGCCTATTCCACAGTCCAACACCTTAATCAAGGAGTACACGCATATCGACTGATATGTGAAATAATACAGAAAACATTTACTACCCCATCCACACAAGAAGCAGGGCTGCTGCAAGCATTCCCAGCACCCCATAAAATAGGAGCAATGTAAATGGAGGCCTAACAGTCTATCAACGTTTTGGATGGAATCTCTAGCTATTAACAATGGGATGCTCAAACACTGGTGCATGCTCCAGAGGAATTGTTAGTGCTCTACCAAAGTGGGACAGCCGGAACAACAGCAGGAACAGTCTACCTTCAGTACAGGGTTCCTCAAAGAGTACATGGCTGCAAAAACTCTTAGATGCCAAGCAGGATATCTGGGAGTAATGTGTATATTGGAAAGGTGTTAATAGACAGAGTCTCAAAGGATCCCTTACAGGTAGTAGCACTACCAGAAGCTATGGACAAGCACTGCAACATCAAAAGCTAAATTATACTTTCCAAGCCTAAGAGCTATGACAGCTGCTGGTGACTCCACATGAGTTGCAGAAGTTGGCAAAGATTTGTGAGACAGTTTATTAGAGAACGTTACCACAGCCAAAAGCTCAGAGCCCACTAAGGCTGCAGGCAGGACAAATTTTGACTTTGAGAGGGAAGACTTTGAGGAAAGCTTATCCACAACCAAGTGCAATTTGGCCCATAAATCAGGTAACTGTAGTGAAATCCCCCAGGATAAAAACAAGGGAAACAGGCGCCAGTAACCCAGGCTCTTAGTAGGTCCTGAGAGGGAGCAACATATGCTCCTCTTAAGATGGAGATGCCTGTGTAAATATAGGCCTGCAGAAGGGCACATACAGCATATGGGAGACAGAGGTGAACAAATTGGTGTTCTGTACTTACCAGATCCTGGGTTTACCCTCCCCAGGACAGGTGGCCTCACACCGGAATGTGTGAGCTGTCTGCCTATAGGAACACTGTGACTAGGTCACTCGGTCATATGTGCCCCCATGAGGAACACTCACAGGCTACCCTTAGGTCCAGGGTAGGACTATCAGAGCCAACGCCGCATGGAGCAAGGATCTGCATGCGCTTGTCGTCTGTGCTGTGGGGACTACTAGGAGCTATATTATCCAGCCTGTCACCCAGTTCAGCTGTTAATTGAAGGCCTTGAAGACTGAAGAAAAAGAATATCATGCAAAAAAGGGAATTAACACTAGACCTACTCTTGAAGGTGGTGTTTTAACCCAGTGGTCAGAAATTCAAGATCTCTGCCATGTCAAAGAATGGAAGAGAAATAAGGATATTTATAAGAGTTTAAAAGACATGCATGACTGTGTATAAGCCTCAACATAATGATATTTCACATTCTGGCATTATATCTGTAATATACAGAAAAAAGGACACTGAAAGTAATAAATGTCTTCTAGAGACCAATCAATAAAACAAATAGCAAGTGAAATGAAAAAAAAAAAATGAAAATGCATAATATCGTTCAAAGGCAAAAGTGACATTTCATTTTCTCTGAAGTAAAGACAGTTTCATTTTTCATGCTAACAATAAATTTACAATACATCACTGGAATATACTGTCTATTTTATTAACTGTAATTTAAAAAATGTGAATCCTTTTTTACATTTCTGAATGGCCCCTTTCACACCAAAGCAGTGCGGTAATAATGCAAATAGTAATAGTGCAAATAATGCATGCTACCATGCAACGCACCTACCATACTATACAGTGCGGCAGGTGCTTTGTGCTGGCATTCATTTGAATGGCACCCCAAACGCACCTCCCAGCCTCAATTCGCTTGACTGTGCCACAACACGCGGTACTGCAATCTGATGCGTTGTGGTGCAGTTCAAAAAAGTCGTGCATGCACCTCTGCATTTGAAAACAAATTGTTGGGTGTTTTAATCAACTCAGCTTATTAAATTGGATAGATGCACAAAAGGATTTTGTAAAATAAGACCTAGCATCAGATACAGTTTTGATGTCAAGTGTATGCAGGCTAAAGTACAGGAATGCATAGATTCCTGCGGTAGGAATGCCAGATTGTCCTATGTGAACGAGGCCTTACAGATATTTATAACATTTCAAAGAGATCACAGTACCTCCCCCCTCCCCAACAATGACTTTATCTAGCTTTCCTCCCAGAAGCATAATGCAATCTTTGCTCAGAAAGAAAATGCTTACCCAGAATTATGACTGGACTGAAATGCTGGTCCAGATAAGACACAACCAATATTGGTGCCTGTGCCGTTCTTGGCTGTGTCTATCTCATATGGATAAGCCCCCTTCTATTGACTATCACCACATGACTTGCTACAACATTGCTTACAAAATTACTGAAGGGGGGAAATGGGGAAAAGCTTCCTCCTTCATGCAGGAATCCCAAGGCATAATTCAAGATTCTCCTCATAGGCGTAGGCCTAGACAAAATGAATTGACTGGAGCTCAAGTATTGATTTTTAATTATAAAAACTTACAACTTATTTGGAAAAACTTCTACTGTTTCTGTATATTTAGACATGTTAGGAATTTTTAGAAGCTGACTTTAATTTACTGACAGGTCCACTTTAGGTCTTCTAGACAACAGCCAAGCAGAGACTTTACAAATCAAAGAAGAATTATGAGGCGAGTGATTCACTCAGCCTCATAATCTGAGCCGACCTGTGACAATGAAACTGTCACAGGTCGGCTCAGTAGATTGGGAAGTGAGCGAACACATACCGTCGGTCGCTCACTTCTCGATCTATCCCTGCAGAGAGCCGTGACACTCACAGCTCCCTGCAGGAATTCCCCCCTCCCCTCCAGCGCTGACTGGCGAAACGGACGGGGGAGGGGGTGGGCACAGCTGGCTCTGCCTCTGGATAGGCAGAGCCAGCTGTCAATCCCGCAGCTGGGTGGATCCAGACAGTATTGTCGGGATCAATCCCGGCTGCGGCGTCTCAGTATACCGCAAGCTGTAGCTCGCGGTATACTGAGCTTTGGGTCACGGGAGAACGCTAGTTTGTGTTCTCCCGTGACCCATAGGAAATCTATGGGGAAAAGCCCTGACCCCATAGTTCTCCTTTAAATGTATGTGGCACTGTTGCTACTTTAATGGGGCTTAGTTGTGTTACAAGGACAAGTGTAAAGGAAAGTCATACAATACTTAGACAGGTGACAAAGTATTCTAGGGTGACACCTAAGTAACTGCAGGCATCGCTTGCACTTGATAAGGTCGGTTTTTAAGCTGGTGGAATAAACTAAACTGTTGCCACTACAAGTTTGGTAAAGACCATCCAAATGTTTATCAGCACTACTAGAATATGTACTTTGCACAGATGAGTATGCACTAGATCAGTGGTTGTCAACCTATGTAACCTCGGGACCCACATTTGTCCTTTGTCATTAAGTCGCGACCCAAGTCGGACTGCACTGGAACGCACAGCATTGTGGTACTGTGCATTCCAATGTGGACGATTAAACTGTGGGCGGGAGGTGCGTTTGGGGTGCCGTTCAAATGAATGGCAACGCAATGCAACTTCCACACCAGAACTCGTAGCAGGT